AGAGAGAGAGAGAGAGAGAGAGAGAGAGAGAGAGAGAGAGAGAGAGAAACTGTCCATAGATAACAAGTTGTTCAGTGGATAAAGCAATCACATCTCTATGTCATTTATATACGTCAAATCTACACAAATAAAGCAAAGATCGAAAAAGAACGTTGTCTAAACATAGGAAGGAAACCAGGAAAAAATTGAATACAATTTTTAAACATTTTTCATACATTTACAATCTATGTGAGTTCTATGTGAGAATTTCGCAAACTGCTAGTCTTTATCTATTTCTCCTGTCCTTCCTGTCTTTATTTTCTTTGCACTAAGAGGATGTACTCGAAATAAGCAAGAAATAGCAATGTTAGCCCTGATGCGGGTCGCCGATGTCTGCCAATCATTCCATATCAATTACTCAGTTAAGTAATCGGGAGCTTCTTCATTTTGGTCTTTCAGCTCATTTTTGGCCTTTTTGGCTCTCTTTTAAGATGCAAGTTATGCAAGCTCTTTTATCTATTAGTGGCTTCCTTGTAAATTGAAGAAAGCTCATAAACTTTTTTGTTTGACTTCAGGCAAAGTTTTTCTAGCCTTTAAAACTTCAATGTATTGAAACTTTATGTGGGCTTAAGAAATATTTCCTAGAATTATTTGGTCCGTGAGTCAAAAGTTCGCGATTACGTAGCTTGAAAAAACTTAAGAGGAAATGTCAATATTGCAAAATTTGCATTTGCAAGGAGGGCTAAGAGCAGGTCCTAAAAATTATATAAAAGATTTTTTTTTTAAATTGCTTCGAAATCTTGAAAAAACATTCTTAATAATAATGGGTCTATGCTACAATAGTTGGGCCTTCTTCTTTACGCAATTGGAAGTAATCATAAGCGATCATCTAAGCAAGTTCTTGATTTCTTAAGGAATCAGAGTTCATTTGGCTAAGTTTTAAAATTATATTGTAATAATTGAGGTTGTTTTGAATTTTTGGATAAGCGCTTAAAACTGCACCGAAGTGTATCTGTAGAGCCTGGTCGACTCAACTAGAAGAAGCGTTTAGCGTTCATATTAATTAACTTGAAAAGATCCTCAGATATGCGAGCCATCAAGACTTCAAGACATACGCACTATCGCTGTATATATATATATATATATATATACACACACACACACATATTTATGTACATAGGCCTCTTTCTGGAAGATGCTTTGAATCGCAACTGAAAAGGCATTCATAGAGGAACTATATTAAGGTTGATCAGTATAAGAAAAAAAAAATGTCCAGAGAAACCATATTAAAGTTGATCAGTATAAGAAGAAAAAATTGTCGGCTTTCAATTCCGATCGGTTGCATAGAGTAATTGATCGGTCATGTCTTACAATCAAAATTTATGTAATTTAAATAAAAGATAATTTTAAGTAGAAGAAGAAGAAAATCACCTTCCGGTTTATATTAAAAAATTTGATATAAATAAAAATAGAGACAAGTTTACGAAAAAATTCTTTTTTTTTTCTTTAAATCTTTTTATAATATAATTATTAAACAATTATGACAATGAAATTAAAAAAAAAAAAATTATATTTAATGCAAAATTAAATAAAAATATTTAACATAAATACTAAAACTTATTAACTTAAAGTTGAATTTTGATTTTGAGGAAAAACTTAGAAAACTTATCAGACCTTGGTTTCATTCTTATAGAAATTTTTGATTTCTTTTTTTCATTATTTCTATAAAAAAAAAATAAAAAAAAAATTAATAACAATTTTCATTTTAATAAATTACTTATGATGAAAAACAACGAACGGCTTGACGGAGAAGATACAATCTGTCATATAAAATTTACAATTTAAAAAAAAAATATTTTTTTCCAAAAAATTATAATAATTTATTTACACTACATTTAAACAAGATTCTTAACTAAATAAAAATTACAATTGAATTAAACTTAAAAGTGGTGAAATAAAAACAGAAGAAGACTTTGATGCCGATCTGTCGGATAGCGGTACAGATGATGGTTATCAAATTTTACGGGCTATACACGACTCAAGCTTGATCACAATTAAATTAAAAATGACCATAAGATAGAAGGCTGGTGCAGCTATAGCCACGCTAACAGCGATGTTGCTTTCACTTCAACTAATGGCCAACAATGCAAATGTCAACTTTTGCCCGACTTGAAAAATAATCTTCTGTTGGCCGTCTGTATAATTCTCCGACGAATGGTTTTTGCTTTTTTTTTCTGCTTTTTTACTAACTTACTTATTGGCTAATTAATGATAAGGAAAGCAGTAGACACAAGGATATAAAGAAGACGACTTGTACTTAAAGTTTTCTTTAAATAATTATTTGCTATACCCACTACCAGCAAATTCAAGATGATAACCATAACTGATCATCACAGCATAGCCAGGTCAATCTGTCTGTCCGATTCGATCGTTCGTTCGTCCGTCCGTCCGCCCGTCTCTTATTATCCCAACTTTAACCCTTACATGCATAGATCTGCATCAAGATTCTAAAATTCACGTTTGAAAAGGGAATGAATCCGCCAACAAGCTTAACCGTTATAGTCGTGACAAATTGTCACGTGTGATAATAACTCTCGCAAGCAAATTCATTTGAACACACGGTAATCGACGGACATACAATTGCAGCTAATAAGGAGATATCACAAGGTGCGCCTTAGGTAGTAGGTAAAGAAAATTCGCCATAGGCGAATAAAGTTTTGCTTTCTTACTTATTATACCTGTTTTCATTAATTTTCTTTATAATTACAATGGCAGCTTAGGATTTTTCTTTTAATTTTCTAAAGGATATTTTCCGTCGAGTCCTGAAAGGTCGACAATTCGCTTTTACATTGTTTATGATTCATACTCAAATCTTCCGGTTCAGTCTGCTCGGGTATGTCGTTGGGCAGGTGCATCACCTGTGGTGGCGGTAGGCGGAATACTCGTCTTATATCGTGAATTTTGCGATAGCTCAGCTCGTCATTGTTACTACCGCTGCCATCTTCCGATAAATCTAATGGCGTTTCCTCGTCCGCGTGCATGTTGTAGGTGTGGTGATTGGTCAACGGCGTTGACAAAATGGGTTTACCAATATCCAGAGATTCCTCCGAACCATAAGATGACTTTTGATCGTAAGTCATCGTACTATACTCGTCACTCATTGCCGGACTTAATACCGGAGTTATCGGCGATTGTAAACCGTTGCATTTATGATTTAATAAATGATGGCGTCGTCTAAATTTTACATGGCAACGTTCACAATCAAACGGTTTCTCGCCATTGTGCACCAGCATATGCGATTTCAGTTGATTCGAGTCACTAAACTTGCCATCGCATATCTCGCAAGTGTAGGGTTTCTCGCCGGTGTGAACGCGCAAGTGACGCCTTAAATTGGCTACTTGCACAAATTGGCGATCGCAATGTGAACAATGATACGGTTTTTCGCCCGTATGCAAGCGCATATGTGTCTTTAGGTGATGGTCGCGCGTGAAACGTTTGTGACACTCAGGGCATTCGAACGGCTTCTCGCCCGTATGAGTGCGTTCATGATTTTGCAAGACATGTTTATAACCGAAAGAACGTGAACATATTTTGCAAGTGAAACTTTTATCGCGAGACGAATTCCCATTAACAGGACTGTTTACCTCGTGAGCCGAGGAATTTGGTGATGAACCCGATGAAGGCGGCGATATAGGTCCAGAACTGTTATATAAATCATTCACATTCATGGGGATATCCGTACTGAGCGGTGTCAGATCTTTTTTCACTGACAACTTTCGCGATCTCTTAGTAGGAACGTCATTTTCACTAACTACCGCTGTAGGTGAAGATAAACTTCGCATATTCTTACTATTGTTATTGTTCAAAGCATTGTTATTATTATTATTATTGACGGGCGAATGCGGTGATGCCGGTGGTGATTGGGGTGTTGTACTTAATGGCAGCGAATGCGGTTGACCGTTCGCCATCGGCCAAGAGCTAAACAATGCAGCCGGATGATGTGGAAACAGAGTAGAAGCCAATGTCGAGATGGGTATTTGAGCAGCCATGAAGGCGGCCGCTGCCTGCCGATTCGCGGCCAATAGTTGAGATGGTGAGAGCATATTATACGCTGTAGCTGCCGCGGCCTGTTGTATACTGGGATACATCACAGTGTTAATTGAGCTGTTAGCAGACATCGGAGGTGAAAGTGATAGAGGTCCGTCCACATCCGAATCACTTTTCTGCATTCCAGCCAAAGCAGCCGCTAAATCTGAAATTTTGATAAATAGAAGAAAAACACGAAATTAATTCAATGAACTTTTGAAAAATTTTGCAAGAATTTTCTAGAGAACGGTCTTCAACTCTTTAATTCTAATAAATCAAAGTTTCAGTTGCTTTTGATATTGAACTTAAACCAAGACTTTGAGAAAAGTTTTATTATGTTAGTCCCGTTTCTTTTTCAGTGTGTCAGTTCCGTGAAGATGTGGCGCTCTAGCCCCATAACTCAAACTGGTTTCGAACTTATTATGTCAAACCTGTGTAAGATATCGCATGACATAAAATCCTAATTAAGTGAGTAAACAACAAGTTCCAAGTATTCCTGTTACTGGCCTCGGATGTCACGAATTACTTAAAACTCCCAAATAACTCAATATCATTATTGATTGACAGTTATAAAGGAAACAACACATTCAAACGCACTATTCACCTTTCAAACTTTGCAGAAAACTTGCTTGCACTTACAAGTTAATGTGAGTCCGCCTTCTTTACCTGGCATGGAATAAGAAAAATCGCTTGTAGATCCAAAATAAGTTATGGAAAACTTACTAAACATTTAACTGTCTACTGGTGACCAAAATCAATCGAATTGCTCTGCGTCTAATCTAGTTTTCCATTAAAGTTTCAAAGGCGCAAAAGCCATATAAAGCGGGTTTCTAAATCTTAATCAACTTTGAAAAGGGCCAGAACCAGATAATTGCATTTCATTCAGGGAATATAATTGAAAAAACAAAGCGCTTTGCCAATAACTTATAATTAATGCGAATACTAAAACCATGATGCAAAAGTGACCTCAATTGGATCACCAGCCGTTTCATTATTACTCTAAATAATGCCATAAAACGATTTTAAAGGCCTTTTTATTAAGATTTGAGGCAATTTTTTTATTACATAAGTTCTGAACGTTTTTGGCTCGCATCGAAGCTCCTCAGTATGCCATAAAGCACGGTAGTTAGCGATATCTTCACCTTCTTCTTATCACTCGTTGTCAACAGTTTGGGAATTCAAACAAAAATTGATATAAACTTTTTCTAACTGTTTCTAAAACTATCATTGCGGACTGATCAGAGTAGTAGGTATACTTTCGGGATATTGAGTTTAAAAAGCTTGCTAAACATTTCTTTTTCATCCATTATATCGCTTTGCAAGATTCATATTCCTAAACAATGTCACATTTTCTGCTCTAAACTTTTTTTTACATCTATTCAGTCTTCTATAGATAATTTGAAAGGAAAAGCAAACATGGATGTAACATGAGTAAACCCAATAATCCAAAATTCTATGAGTTTAACTTTTTTCTTTAAAAGTTGAAAAAAATTCAAATTGTATTAAAACGGATTTCTTAACAATGCTCCTCTCCATATAATTAGTGAAGAGCTCCAGCAAAGAGTGCAATTTAATTAAAAACTCATATGTAAATGAAAGAGAAAGAGAGAGAATGTGTGCGGACATATGTGTAATAAACATATAGGAGAGCTTATATATTGATGAAAACAAAAGGCGCGCAACATGATATTGGCTGACAATCACAATAATAAAAAAAAAAAATAACCGGCTCATACTTACTTCTGGTTTGCGCTTCCATTGAGATGGACAAAGCCATGACGTTAGTTATTGTTGTTGTTGTGGTAGTGGTGTTGGTGTTTTTTGGGAAAATGTAGTTGAGGGTTACAATTGTTGTTGTTTAATAATTTACATAATTATCCTTTATATGAGGGGATTGATATAATCCATGTGGAGAGGAAAGGAGTGGATTTTTTGTACTTAATTTTTGTTTTTTTTTTTTAATTTATATTATTATTTAATTTTTTATTATTATTAATAGTATTTTTACACAACACAAAAATGAGGTAATTCTGTTAAGGTGTATTCAGAAAAAGAAATTCAAGTTGAGGTATTTATGGTTTACACTTTTTTTTTTTTTTTTGTTAAATTCTGTTTCTTATTTTATTTTAAATTTTTTTCCTTCTAAATTAAGACACTCCGGTGTTGTGGGCGTTACGGCTTAGTCGTTTTTAGATTTCGGTTCTAAGCGGTTAATAGAGTTAAGTTGATGTTGTCTTGTTCAGCGGTCACTACTTAATGATATGATTTCCTTGTATGTCACATAATTTATACACTTTGCCACCATCATTATAGTGATGAAATGTCATCATCCTTTAGTATTGTTTTTCTTTTTTTTTTTTTTATTCTTTTCAGGTAAAATACATCTACATGAGCTCAAATATCCTTTTTCTTGTTAGGTATGTTTTGATTTTTTTTTTTTTGTAAATGAAACTTAAAATTATTTAACTTTTTATTATTTTATTTTAACTAAAAATTAAAAAAAAAAGAAAGAGTCTAAATCGCGCTTCTTGTGTTAAATAGACTAACACAACGTATTCTTTTAAACCTATATATGTGTGCGAGATCTACAGATCTACTCTTCTTTAAAAACAAATCTGAACTGGATTTTTTCTTCTAACATAACTCGGTTTATGTATAAATTTTGTTAGTGATGATGTTGTGCTAATATATACGTCGCTCCGTAATTCGTTCTCTCTTCTTTACTAGCAATCAACTCTACTATGCTTTAACTCAAATGCCATGCCATGCAATACAAAGAAAACCAACCCCCTTTTTTTGTGTGCTGAACACTTATACACTTATACATGGGAATTCATTTTATTACTCTTTATTTTCTTACCTTAAAGAACTCGCTCTCATTTTATGTAATCCATCCATAGTTTAGTTATATACTATAGCGAGTGTCTATGTATTCCTACATGTATATGAAACAGGTATCTCTCTTCGCATACGCATTTGCCCGTTAAATAATCTCTTTCTCATGTCTTTCATATTACGACTCTCTCTCTCTCTCTAGAAATCCTTTATTTATTTAATTGTGTGCGGCAACAATATGCAAATTTCATATTTCGAGTTAATTGTTGGGATTAACCGTTGCTTTGAAGAAGAAGAAAAAGCAAACTGTTGGGGAAAATCTTTAATTACGTATTATATCCGCAAGAGATAATCGTTACATTTAATGCCTGCAAAAGGAAAAAATTAAAAAGGATTACCTTGCCATGTTAGAATGCTGGTAAGATGACTGACTGTCTTACGACTTGGGCATGTTACGTGTGGAAAGAAATTTTAGATATTCTGGAAAATTTATACATTTACAGCTTTCGTTAATTGCAGGGATTACCAGGTGAAAATATGTAAAAACTATAGCAAAAGGATTAAATGATTTCACGTTTACTAAGTAACCCTTCAATCAGGAATTACTTTGTATGAAAAATGTACATAAATTTGGTTGAATTGATCATTGAATTGAGTTGACATATCATACGTAAGAAATTGAGCCGTGTTTTCATCTGTCCGTCACAAAGACTTATATAAGACAAGTAGTTAGGTATCAATGATTCATCTTTAAACTTTTTTTTTACTTATCGAGTTAGTTTCAGTTTGTGTCGGTGTTCGTCCGCTTCCCCAAATCCATTTTCCCGTTTGGATAATGCTATAAAGAGCCAGATACATGGCTAGTCGGGTGGGCGATCTAACGTGCGATTGGCAAATAAATTTCTTTCCACCACTCATCAAAATAGTGGTTCGTTTTAAACCTTCAAATTGTTCATTAGCACATTTTCGTCACTTACTTCCAAATGTCTTTTCGGGTAAATTAAACACATTGACAAGCTCGTTAGGGCGATTATTATCCAGATAGCTACCGAGCAAGTTATTCCTCTCCACATTTGTCGGATCAACTTTCGCAATCACCAATCGTAGGGAGAGCATATTTTAAGGCATTCATTGGTTGTTATGTAGACGATCGACACTCTAACAACGAATAACGGAAGAGTTAGTGTAAACGTACAATAATATAAAGATAATGAATTCATTCAATTTCTTAATGCTAAGTATATCAAGCATTACTTTATCCCCACTTTTGAATTTTTTTTTTTTTGTTATTAGGAAATTACTCAACTGTTTCCCCTTAAGCTAAGCGGGTTATTCTCACGTACACATGAGAATATCTATTATGTAAATCGTAAAAGAGTATATGAATGATGAAAGCCATGGCGCGGTGTTAATAGCCGCTGACTACATATTCTTGCTTTTTAAGCAGTCGGCTGCAAAGCGCATACTCCGCTTTTGTATATACAATGTGTTGCTCTGATTACATTATTTTTGTTGCTTTGTGTTTGTGTGTAAAAGCAGCGCCTACATTTTTCCTAATATCAAAGGCTAAAATTGGTGAAAGATAAGCTTTCATAAGGTTATGCTTAGCATTACTTAAGTTTCGAAGAAGCTAACAAGATGAAAATATCTGAAATATATTGAACAGCTTTTATTCTAGGAAGAGTGTAATAATTAGCCGGAATACTTACTTCTTCCTATATTTCATTTAATTTTATTAAGCAACTACGAGCTGGTTACATAGGTACAATTCATATGCAAAGAGAGTGATTATAGAAGTCATCTCTATGGCTAATAACTTACTCATCTTGCTCTAAGAACTCCATAATCATCAATTTCAATCATTACGAGTTTAGATGTACAACCAGTTTTTTTTTAAGCTTATTCAAGGCGTCTTCGAAGGTTTTCGGACTCAAAAGTAATGCAACACGAACAATAAACGATCTTTCGACAGATGAGTTACACGAACGTGGTACTAATATGAAAAGGTTTTCTATTTGATTTAGTGAAAGGGCAGGCGTTCGATTAAAAGGTATTTCTAGGAAATTTCATACAAATCCTACTCGTGATAAAATCTTCTCAAAAGTGAACATCTGAAGAATGTTGAAGCGAAGGTATTGGAAAAAGAAACACATTGCAAGATAGGGCCGAGAGTATCTCCACTAATTACGGGCTGCAGTGTTGAAATTTGATCTCTCTCTTTTCACTCCCACCAATACCAAGTGAACTGTTGACAAATTATATAAGCTAGAGCAAGGCAAGTGGCCCTTTTTTCATTTCGACCGATACAAAGTAGTCTGCTGACAAATTAGCTAGAGCAAGGCAAGTGCATCTTGGCCTCCACAAAAGATATGAAAGCTCACAGATCTGATATGAGCGCCTTTGTATATATTTCATATATACATTTCATACCGATATTTATAAATGTCAAACCGAAAGCTATCTTTATTATTAAACTTGACTTACTTAACTGCTACTTATCTAACATTGAAGTTTAGAAAGTTTACTTTAAAATCAATTTTTGACCTTCATATATGTTTTGAAAAATTCATTCAGGCCTACTTGCATTGTTTTGTACATCATTTCACATTAGTTTTTTTCGGCTCATTTCATTCTCATTTTATATTACCCCTGAAAAAACTTCTCCTTGCTTTGAAGTAAAAAAATTGCACTCAATTTTTTATTCAAATAAAACCCTTATTACTTCGTTTATTCCGTAGCGGAAAAAGTGAGTGAGTAGACAAACAAAAAAATGTTATAAACCATGCTTTCATAGCTATATAGGTATATACGTATATCCATATTTATATATATATATATATATATATATATATATCTATATCAGTATATATATATATATCAGTCATTTCATTCAATCTTTACATATGTCAAAGCAACAATTATACGCGGAAAACAAACAATATTTCACTTTTTTTTTATATAAAAGAATTTCAAGAGCATATAAGTAGGCAGCCGTGTATATAGGCAAAGCGAGAATTAACTGCTTTATACAATGACAACAAGTAAAAAAAAAAAAAAAAAAAAAATGGAGTTTGCGCTGTTCTTTCAACATATTGTAAACTGAGTAAAAAAGAGAGAGAGAACATGCCTCTCATTGTTTACTCTGCGTTTGGTGTTAAAAATAAGGCAAATACACGCATAAACTGAAATCCCTATGATTTATACTCTTTTTTAATCAGTTCACACAAATAGGGATGAATTAATATATACGCATATATATGTATATATATATATATATTTATATATATATGAAAGTAAATACTTACTATATTTGAGTTTTTATATAAAAGTTTTTCTCCGTGAAAAGGGGAAATGTTAGAGTGAAATTTTTTTTGATAAGAAAATCATATCAAGTCCTAGTTATAAAAACTTTTAAAAACGCGGAGAAAGCAAAAAGATAGTACAGTCAAATGATTGTACTTCCCCATCGCTTTTAGCGAAGATTTATTGTTTTCTAATCTTTTTGGTCTTTTTTATTGTTTGTAAGCAACTAATTCGCTTGTTAGTCAGACTATTTGCTATAAAAATTTCGATTCGAAATCAAAACCAATCATATGTAATCTGACAGCCGTATCTTGGGCAGCATCACAGCGATGTGGCAAATCTCATCTTCCATGTAGCATTTAGCTTAAAGTATGTTTTGTTTTTCTTTTCCATTGTACCGCACACCACTTATAACATGAGCATATATTACCTTAGTGCAACACCCAGAGGGGCATGAGAGAGATGCACCTTTTATTATATCGATCCGTTCAGAATCATTTTCTGAAACGATCTAAGCTTGTCTGTCCGTCTGTCCGTTTTGTTTTCTTATGCTATAGGGCGGAATTTTTGAGCTATTTTGATGAAATTTGATATACTGGCGTGTCTTAGTACCAGGATGGATGTTATTGAAAATGGCTTGGATCGGACCACATTTTCGATCACTTGTCTTGTAACGC